TTGTTATGGCTTTCTAATTCCTCATCAGATGGTCATCGGACAGCTTTCCTGGGAGACAATCCAAGGAAAACTGGAAGTCCTCTCCCAGACCCAGAGTTTCCTGCTTTGTGCAAGATTTAGCCAATAGTGTTCAATCCATGTTCTATGTCTCCTATGAGATAAATGATGTTATTTTCAACAGCAATGTAGGAACCATAGATGCACACAAGAGTTAGACCATGAGCCCAGCCCTGCTCTGGCCACGTGATTTGGGACAAATCACTTAGACCTCTCTGAGACCCTGCTCCTTCCTTTGAAAAACAGGTTTGCAGCAATAAAAAGGCACCATGATAAATGTAAATCACCTATAAAATGCCGAGCCTACAATAAGAGCGTGGCCAATTATTTTTAAATGTACTGAATATTAAATAAATACTCCCAACACTTATTCCTCCCTTCTGCTCAACCTGGGTACCAGGTTCCCAGAGCGCCAGTGCCTCTGGAAATAACACCCGGTGTTGGAGTGTCTTGGGTTCTTCTGATTTGGGTTTGGCCTAATGTGGAAGCAGGCCTTTCTCCATTCTGATGCCCTTTAGTCTCCTGATGCAGATCAGAGTCCTGGAAGCCAGCTGAATCCTAGTTACTTAGTCCCCTGATTTTGCAGCGGAGGGAGGAAGCTGAAACCCAGAAGGGCAAGCGACAGGCTGTGGATTCCACACGTGCTCGGCAGAACCGAGATGAAGACCATTTATCCAACTTTTTAAGTCAATGACTCTCTACTTTTCGACTCTTCCACTGAGCCTCATGGAGAATAAAGAAACTTCTACTGAGTTCAAGTAGCTGGATGGCCCTGCCTTGAGCAAGCCACTGTTTCTCCTGGTGTTTGGGACCCTACCTATACATGGAGATGATACTTGTCTGTGAACCACTGAGGTTACGGGAAAAAGAGAAGTAGGCATAACTATTCCAGTTACCCGTTCTGGTGTTCAATAAGCTGATTCTGATTGGTCTACATCTGTTTTTTCAGTTCTTCTACTCTCTGTTTCCACGTTAATTCTCAGGTCTATATGCTAAAAAGTTTCTATCAAAGCCTTTAACAACTTAGGTTGAGGCTTAAAAACTGGTAGCTTTATTGTTGGCTTCTTAACAAAGACCTTTCTTTTTTTTTATATTTTTATTTCTAGGAGAGAGAGAGAGAGACAGCGTGAGCAGGGGAGGGTCAGAGAGAGAGGGAGACACAGACTCTGACATAGGCTTCAGGCTCTGAGCTGGCAGTCAGCACAGAGCCTGATGCGGGGCTCGAACCCACGAACCGCGAGATCATGACCTAAGCGAAAGTCGGACACTTAACCGACTAAGCCACCCAGGCGCCCCAATAAAGACCTTTCTTAATAGGGATCTACTTGGTTCGGAAGCTTGAAAGCATTCTCTGTTGTAGAGGCTGTGGGGCAATGGACCTTCTTGCTTATTATGGGTGGAAATGCATAATGGCACAGCCCCTATGGAGAGAATTTAGCAATCTTATATATCTATACCTTGTGGCTGATCCATTCAACTTCTAGGACAAGGATAAGGGAGCAAAAAAAAAAAAAAAAAAAAAGGAACACAAAAGCCTGTTAATGTGGCGTTCATTACAATAGAAAAAGACCAATGTTCTTCAGGAAGGGACCTGCTGAATAGGCCATGCTGCATCCACATAATGGAGTGGTTATTACATAGCTGCTTAAAGAAATAAAAGGCTGACTTTTATACTGTTATGGGGATATCTCTGGGATACATTGTGAAGTGCAAAAAGCAAAGTGAAGATGAGAACGTATGAATGATAGCCTTTATCTAAGAAATGGGACTATTTATCTTCTAGTACATTAAAGATATAGGACAAAAATAGGACAAAAACCTATTTTTAATGTATTAGAAGATAAATAGTCATTTCTTAGATAAAGGCTATCATTCATACATTCTCATCTTCACTTTGCTTTTTGCGGAGCACATGGACCCCAATGTTCACAGCAGCACTCTCAATAGGTAAAACATGGAAAGAGCCTAAGTGTCCATCAACAGACGAATGGATCAAGAAGATGTGGTTCATCTATACCATGGAATACTACATGGCAATGAGAAACAATGAAATCTGGCCACGTGTAGCAACATGGATGGACCTTGAGGGTGTTATGCTGAGTGAAATAAGTCAGTCAGAGAAGGACAAATATCATATGTTTGCACGTATAGGAGGATTAGGAGGAACTTAACAGAGGACCAAGGGGGAGAAGAAGAGGGGAAATGGTGGGGGAAAGGGAGGGAGGCAAACCATGAGAGACTCTTGAATGCTGACAAAAACTGAGGACTGATGGATGTGGGGGGGAGGGGGGGATGGGCATGGAGGAGGGCACTTGTGGGGATGAGCACTGGGTGTTATGTGGAAACTAATTTGACAATAAACTATTTGTAAAAAAAAAAATAGGACAAAAACCAATGATTAATCAAAGTGGTTAATTATAAGAGAAGTAGGAAACAGAGTGGAAGCAATATGTTTGGAAGCTAGATTTAAAAAAAAATTTTTTTATACTTTATTTTTGAGACAGAGACAGAGCATGAGTGGGGGAGGGGCAGAGAGAGAGGGAGACACAGAATCTGAAACTGGCTCCAGGGTCTGGGCTGCCAGTACAGAACCTGATACAGGGCTCAAACCCACAAACCGTGAGATCATGACCTGAGTTGAAGTTGGACACCTAACTGACTGAGCCACCCAGGCACCCCTGAAGCTAGATTTTTAAAAATTAGCTTGTTCTATACATTTAGGAGAATGCAAAACTTTTTTACAAAATTGTAGAACAACAGCTAAAGAAAGTAATCCTTTCATTCAAAAACAAAATCAAATTAGACAAATTAATCTGATGAGAAGGAATTATTTCAAATGATTTTTAAAAGTTTTAAATTTTTATTTATTTTGAAAGAAAGATAGAAAGCAAGTGGGGAGATGGACAGAGAGGGAGAGAGACAGAATCCCAAGCAGGCTCCATGCTGTCAGGACAGAGTCTGATGTGGGACTCGAACTCATGAACCATGAGATTACGACCTGCGTGAAGTCAAGAGTTGGACGCTTAACTGACTAAGCCATGCAGGGGCCCTGGAATTATTTCAAATATTTTCAACCTTCATTTATTTGGTTATATAACTGCAGCGTCCTAAGAACAAGAAAAAAAAAAAAACCTGGCAAATCTTAAATTGCTTTGAGAGTAATCATATTGTCCATAATATGTTGGTAGGGTTATTCTGAAGGTTTTTGTACATAAATTAACATAAAGCATATAACACTATATTAATGTTATAAAGAACCAAGCTTTTTGATATCAGAGAAAAAAATAATCAAATAGAAAATCAAAGAAATGAATTAAAAACCTGTAACCCTAAGCTTGAATTGGAAATATCAGTGTGAACTCCTGATGTATTTCTCTTAGAAATATTTTCAGGCTTTGTCCACTGGAAAGACTGAGAAGCAATAACACTTGCAAAAGCAAGGATCTTCTTAGCACCCAAACCCCAGTCTCCAACTGCATTTCTCATGGAAAGGAACCAGGGTGCCTTGCAAAAGTGGTTCATTTAAGGTTGGGGCGGGAAATGTTCAAGATGAACCGGTAACATATTATCACGTTGGAAAGCAAGGAAACTGCCCAAGGCCGTTGGGCTGTGACAAAAAGTTCAAAACATACAGGAGCCAAAATGCAAAGGCTCCTACTGGCCAAAGACGAAACAGCCATATCCGAGGATGGATATAAAAAGAACAGTATCTGCAATGTGTCCAAACATATGGCATCTGTTAAAATCATGCATCCGTAACAACATTTACAAAGCTTATGGGCTCCCTCGTAAGATGCTAGGGAACCAGCTCAACATTCTGAAAACTGGCACATAAAGGAATAGAACCAAACATTTCACTTTCCCTTCTGAGTGGGGCTGTGTACCTTGGGATAACGAAATAGTCGAGGAAGTAAATTTCTTCTTCCTTAGTAGAATTCCAATTTATAGATAAAGAACTAGTGGGGAGCTGGCATACCACCAGCCCGCAATCCTTAATGAAATGATGGATCTATGCTCCTGAGTGTGGGATTGTGTTTGTGTTGGTGAAATCTTTCTCACGGGTATTAGTTTTGTGATTCCTATCAGTAATTGTGAAATGAAAAGTTGTCTTCTATTATGGAAATTGCAGGGAACAAGAGGGGGCGGTAGGTTTGGAGCTGGGACATTCACCCGTTGCGTCAACTTACCTCCTGCAACTATTTGTGAAGTCTCGCCAAGTCAGAGGTGGGGACATTCTAAGACATGCCTCTGTTTTCTGGGAACACAGTGATCATGGTGGCTGCCTGCCTTTTCTTCCTATGATAAGTTGCTAATTCCCTGACACTTTCTCAGATGTTTCATAGCTTTATCTAGGCCGTCGAGAAGGAAGCTTTCCAGGGTTTATTGTGGTTTAAATAAAACCACTCTTATTAAATCTTAAAGCAGATTAAATTAACCTGGACATATTTTACAACCTTATGTCACTCATCTGTGGTCAAGAAATTGACAAGGTCTTCTTAATATTGTGAATGAACTCTCTCTCTCTTTCTCATTTTCTGAAATACTCAGTTCCTCTGATGGCACCATTGACCAAACTAAGACAGTACTGAGTTTTCCATTCTGCTCTATGCAACTTTCCCCTTACCTGCTAATTTGCAAAAAATCCACACCATAGTCGTAAGAGGGTACATCTATACCATGCTCTTAACAAGGTGCAATGCGTCAGGAAGATAGGAGCTACCTCTGGCCCAGAATATCTGGCTCCAAAATTGCACCCCCCACCCCTCCCCACTGTCACCACCAGCTCAGCTCAGCCGGGCATGTTCCTTTCTGATGAATCAGTACAAATCTGCCAGTATAATCATCTTGCTTTCCCTTGAAACTTTGGGAACAAATTGGGTACATGGTTTTCCCACCCACAGTCCTCAATAATTATCCTATTTCTGCCTATTTTTATTTTTCAGAGGCTTCTGAGAGACTTAAGAGGTGGTTTCTTAAACTGAATAGCAGCTGGGAAAAAAAGATGAGTCGATGTCGGTTGTGGGTATGGTAACCATTTTGTTCTCTGCCAGACTTTGTTACTGTTGTTGTAATAAAGAAGAAAATTAGTTGTTCACTTGTTTCAATGACTTCAGACTCTTTCATGGCAACTGTCTGCATGAGAAAGGTTAGGGCTTTCAAGATTTTTTTTCTGTAAAAACATCATTTTTTTCCCCTGAAAAACATGGTCAATTGATGGCATTATCATTGTGCTACTTACAACAACAAAAAAAAACATTAGAAGAAAGACATTTCTACGGCTTAATATTTTACATTTTTCGTCCATTTTGTACTGTCCTTTGAACACATGCTTGAATTCTTTTCTTTTCTATGAATGTGCAGTGTCTTTCACTTTAATCATTGGCCTTAGCCATTTATTATCTGAGTTTCCCATTTGAGTGAAATCACTGGACCTTATAAGTTTGGTTGGTTTTCATGTTGTTCTTCGCAGGTAAAAACTCATGTTTGAACTCTGAAGTGCTGTCTACACTTTATTAATTTGCTTCCTTACTTGTAAGTGTTATTGATAATCGAGTTCTTTAGAATATTGGAAGATAGCTACTTGGATATTATAGTCTTAGATTGTGTGTGATAGGTCATGGGAAGAGTCTGCCTTATTACAGACGTGTTCACAAATTGGTATGCACTGTGGAGAGACGTGTAAAAGTCTCATTGGTGGTTAGCACGATGGACTACAGGGTGAAGATTGGAGAGAACTCAGAATGATTAGGAGTGGACGAGTCCTGGAAACACTTGAGTGTCTGGGTGAAATGCTTGTCGACACTGATCTGGGTAGAGGGAGCAGAGCATCTTGGAGCCAGGTTCAATATGCCGCACCCATCGCTTGTTGGGTGCCAGACCCTGGGAGCTGCTTCACCTTCCAGGACCTGTTTCTTCAGCGTCAAATGGGACAATCATAACACCCACCTGATTGGGTTGTTATACTATTAAATGAGCCAATAGCTAATCCTCTGCCTGTGCCTAGAACATGGTGTTTGTTCAATAAATTAAAATATTACATTTCAGAAATGGAATGCCTGGTCAATCATAGATCTTAACTGCTCTGTATTTATGACATAAAACAAAGAGAAGAAGGTGATTGCCTTCTGTCTTGGAAAAAATTGTAAGCAAAACTGCCAGATTCTTAGACTGTCAGGGTGAATAAGTTTAATAAGCCATTTGGATTCCTCAGAGAGCAGCCTGGAGTAAGGACAAAAGGTGGGAATGAGGAGTGGTCCCTGAGATATCCCGAACTCTCTGACCTCATTTTCAACAGAGGGAAGAGGTAACAGCTAACACGGCAGATGGGTGGGGGATGGGTGGGGCTGCATATTCAGCTGAGAGGTCCCTCTCCCCACCCCAGGACATCACAGTCCTTTAATCTGGTTGTGCACAGCCTCCACGACACAGAAAGTAGAACTGTTTCGATTTAGCACTGAGCTGGGAAGAAAAAAACAGATCAGCTACAGTCTCAGGCACATATGAGAAATAGGGTGAATTTCACGTGCGATACAAGAATGGAAGGAAGGAAAATAAAGAAAGGGAGAAAGACAGAGAGGAAGGAAGAAAGGAAGGGAAAAAGAAAAGGAAACAAAAGGAGAAAAAGACTGAATGCAAATCACTAGGGGAAGACAGGGTATTGTTTTACTACTGAGGCTCACCAGGGTCTATTAGAAAAATTGCCATTTCAGTCATCTGGGTGGCTCAGTCAGTTAGCACCTGACTCTTCAGCTCAGGTCATGATCACCGTCCATAGGTTCGAGCCCCACATCAGGCTGTGTGCTGAGAGTGTGGAGCTGCTTAGGATTCTCTCTCCCTCTCTCTCTTCCCCTCCCCTACTTACGTGTGCTCTCTTTCTCAACAAATAAATACAATTAAAAAATGCCATTGAGAAGGTCTATTTTGGCCTCTAAAAATTATTTTCCAAGAAACAGATGCAAAGGGGAGTAAGCACTGGCTTCACGTGGCTTTTCTGGGTGGAGATATTTTATTTTCTTTTTATTCAATTGATGTAAAGAGTTAGCTCTGAAAAGAAGGCAGAAGGAAAAACTGGAGAAAATTCAGTGTGGACCTTGTTTCTAAGCAGGAGTTTAGGTGTAAGTGGTGACTTCTCCTCCTGCACAATTTTGAGGCCACAGAACCACAAAGTGCGATAGTTCCCAGAAATGGGACTTGCATTCTCTAACCAGGAACCAAATTATAAACTTCACCAGGTAAAGGAAAGATGCAACTCTTGGGGCAGACTTGGCCATTATCTAAACCTAAATGAAGAATTGATGCCATCAGGCGTTGAAAAAGAGACTGAGTTCGATTATCATGTTTGGCTCTGATGACAATGACCTACTTATAAGTAACAATATTAGAATAGGTTATTAGAATTTTAGTCTGCTGTTGCCTTTTAAAATTTTGAATGTGTTTATATAATTAAAAATCCTTGTAAGGATTTTGGAAATTGCCAGTATACATTGACATGTCTCCTTGTGTACCTTTGTCTTTGGCTCAGTTTGCGAAGAAGTCATATGGAAGCATGGTATGACTTTAAAAAAATCTAGAAATTCTGCAGAAGCATTATGAGATAAAATATAGGATGCCCAGTTAAATTTGCATTTCTGATAAACAACAAATGATTTTTCTTAATGCAAATGCATGCAAACATTGCATGGGGCATCCTAAAAATTACTCATTATTGGTCTGCCATTTACATTTAACAGAGTTTGCTAAATCTGGCAACCCTATTCTGGAAAGGTGACGTGGGATATTAGTTATTTAGTCCTTTGGAGAACACTTGCTTGGTTTTTAAAAAAAATTTTGTTTTTGAGTATAGTTGGCACCCAATGTTATTAGTTTCAGGTGTACAACATAGCAATTCCACGACCACAGCTCAGCGCAAGTGTGGGTACCATCTGTCAGGCGAAGTTATTCCGTTATCATTGATTGCATTTCTCATGCTGTGCTTTTCATTCCTGTGACTTATTCCTTCTGTAACTGGAAGCCTGTCTCTCTCATTCCCCTTCATCCATTCTCCGACTCCTTCTCTGGCTACTGTGCTTCCCCTTCATCCATTAAGCCTGCTTTTGTGATTTGACCACTCTGCAATAACTTCTAGCCTGCTAGACATTCCTGCCCGGGGAACATGTCTGTTTATGACGCAGCCTCCCAAATGTTCATGTAGCCACAAGTGGCTCAGGCATCTTGTTAAAATCCAAATTCTGACTCAGGAGGCCTGGGATGGGGCCCGGGACTATGCATTTTAACAGCTCCAGGTAATACCAATGCTGCTGACCTTTGGACCGAACTTCGAGAAAGGTATTTACACCTGAGTTCTCATTTTCAACGAAACAGAAGTAAAACTATCATGAAATTTTGTTTTACACTCCTTCTGTTTTTGCGGATTCTTTTTTCTATTTTTTAAGCCAGAAAATGCTAAATGTTATGCATTTTGTTAATGGAAGAAAAATGCATTAGGTTGTGAGAAAATTCTGGAAAGGCACATGTTCCAGGAATTGGTCATTAGATTGTTCATCCGTTCATATTTCTGGAAGGACCAGAAGCGTCATTAGAGAAATCACATGATTGTACTTGGTTAACAGGCTGTGCTGGGGGCGTACTTGGTTAACAGGCTGTGCTGGGGGCCAAGTCCCTAAATGTGTCTGTTGTTAAGTATGAAAACCTGTTTGAAGTGATTTTTTTTTTTTTAATAACACCGAACTCTGTCAGGGAAAAGCATGTTGCAATGATTTCAACATCTGCATAGAAAGGCTCAAAGGTCCTTTTAAAATGAAAATCCCAGATTAACAGCTGAACCTTTGGGTTGCTGGGTATTTTGAGCCTTAGAAACGCAAGACCCGAATTAAAGAGGCGAGTGCTTGTGCATCAGGAGGGCACTCACTCTTCTCACCAGCGCTCACACCTCTTTCTCATCCCTTGCCCGACTCTCAGCGGGCTCCGCGCCTTTGCGGGATGCAAGACAGTCAGATTAAATCATCTCTATGTCGGAAGCTTTGTGTCTGCTCCCGACCCTGCCACCACTGTGCAGAGGGGCAGGCGGCCGAAGACGGTGTTGACAGGCTGTGTGTCTTGATGTGGCTTCTGTGTCAGACTGGGAGGGGAGGGACCGGGCTGGGAGGGGCTTGGGGAAAGGAAAAAGCTAGGCCACTCTTCTGGTGAAGTTTAATTGTTTAAGCTTTTGCTCTTAGAGGACATTTTTAAGAAACTGAGTCAGCTGAAGGAGGAGTTGAAACCGTGTTTCCTTTGACAGAGGTGAATGCCATCTCATTAGAGACCTGGTAGACTGGAGGTTTCAGAGGCTGGATTGTCTCTTTCCGGTACCTTTGAGACTAAAAATGAAGGTCTTCTATTCTCCTGAATGCACAGAAAACCTGTGGCAGAAGAGGCAATTAAAACATCACCTCCACAGTTAGATAATGATCGTATTGCATCAGTGATCATTTCCTGATTTTGATAACTGCACCGAGCTTGTGTAAGAGAATATCTTTCTCCTTAGGAAAAGACACACTGAAATATTTAGCAGAGCCATCTTGTCTGCAACGCACTCTCAAATGATTCATGAGGTAGAAAATGACAAAGCAAAAAAGATAAAATGGAGGTAGTTGGGAAATCTGGTGAAGGTATAAAGGAGTTTTGTAATTTTTCATGAGTTTCAAATGATTTTGGAATGGAGAGGAACCACCTCATGAGAATAGTGTTTGCCGGCCACTTCAGTGCCTTGTATGGTCTCCTCCCTTGAAGCCCGGAGCACATGGGCTTCCTGTCTTCACTGTTAGCACAGAGTCTGGCTGCCCAGTAGGACGTCTCCCGGCCTTTATGTCACTGTTCCTCTGTTGGCTGGTCAGACCCAAGAGATAGGGACTAGCCCTTGAACTCTCAGAAGTGAACACCAAGAAAGCAATCAGCAAACATTCTTTTTTTCTTGGTGGCGGGGGGTGGGGGGTGGGCGGTGATGTTCAACCAACCTTTCTTTTAGTTGAGATTTGCTTATGGAATGGGAAATCGCTAGGCAACA